TTTTTTGTGTGTGCGTCTCTGTACGTGGTTCCATATTTATATTTTTGTGTGTGCGTCTCTGTACGTGGTTCCATGTTTTATTATTTTTTGTGTGTGCGTCTCTGTACGTGGTTCCATGTTTTATTATTTTTTGTGTGTGCGTCTCTGTACGTGGTTCCATATTTTATTATTTTTTGTGTGTGCGTCTCTGTACGTGGTTCCATGTTTTATTATGTTTTGTTTTGTTTTGTCGTTGTTCCTGCGTGTGTGTGTGGTGGTTCGTTGCACTGCCGGATGGAGTGGCCACTCAGATTGAGGCGGCAAAAACATAAAGACCGAAACGGAGGAGCATCGCCCTCACCCCTCCCCCCTCCCCTGTTTTCTCATAACACATAACACTTTTGTGCGTTTCCGCCGTTGCGCCCCCTCGCTCTCACCTTTGCCCTGCACCACCACCACCACCACCGCCCTTCACACGAGGGAGAGAACGGGGACGTGGGCCACTGGGACGAGGGGGACAACGGCGGAAACGCACAAACAGACGAGTCCCACGTACGCGGGAGGCTATGAATTTAGGGGACGGTGGCAAGCTGCGCCTGCGTGCCTGCCGCGTTGGCACGTCGTACATGTTCCGTCACATGCGCGCCGTTCTTGAGTCGTCACTGCAGGAAGAAGCAGAGAGGCCTCTTGCCTCACTGTACTTCGCCGCGACCTTCCAGCGGTAGTGGCCGGTGCAGCCCTCACCGCCCACGCTGTGCGGCACACGAGATAATGCGTTAACCTCCCACCTTTACTCCGCACCCAGCGCCAGTGGCCGCCAATTGCAGGGCCCCACTCACATGTCCCCACCCTTCCTTGCCTATTTGCCTTCTCTCCCTACCCACGTTGCACTCTCACTAGTTTGCGTTCTAAGAGCGAAAGGAAAGCGAAGAGGCACTCGCCGGGTGTATTTGTCACGGAATGACACACGAAGCCCGCACCACGCCTCCCGAGGCCGTGGGCGGGCCACACGCCCCCGCCAACCAAGAAGATGGCGCACGGCCGCTGTTGGAGAGGGTTGCACGGGAGGCGATGCCATCGACACAAACGAGCCATCCATTGCTGTCCACGGAGGCAGTGCAGGAAGAAGACACCCAAAGCGTCGCCCGCAACGCCTACGGGAAAGAAGACGCGGAACAGGTGGTGGGCGAGGGATGCGAGAAGGAAGACGTGGAGCGGCGTGGGTGGGCGAGGTCGGTGATGGCGTCGTTCTCATCTATAATTCCACCGGGCGGGAT